GCGCCCCCGCCGGCACGCCGGGCAGGCGCATGGCGATGCCCAGCAGACGGGCGCTGCGCCCGTGCACCTCCCCTCGCCACGCACTCCTGGGGTGCAGGGGCGGCTGCTGTAATGGGGTCTGGGCATCCCCTCCCCTTGCAGTAAATGGAAAACGTAGCCTTAGGTATTTACATTTGATTTGGGAGGCCGCTTTTTAATCTCCTTAGGCTGGGAGAAAAACTCATTTAGAGAAGGTACTTCTGCTCCCGAAGCAGAAGTCGTGCCTGCGAATGCACGGCGAAAGGAGAGCTCGTTAACCACCTCCTCGCCAGCCCGGGCATGCAGCGGGGCAGCAGCAGTAACCGGGCACTGGGGTGCCCGACGTGAGCCGAACGGCACCGTGCCAGCAGCAGCTCCCTCCTCTGCTCCCGCACCCACACACCACCCAACGCACCGGCCTCCAAAAACGCAGCACCCCCCTGCCCTCCAACTTCGCCCTACCACGTCAGGATGGCACGACCGGTACCGCCGCACACCGCTGATGCCAGCGGCGATTTTCATCCAAGACCCTGAAGAGCGAGGCTGCTTGCCAGCCTCGGTCTCCCCGCACTCACCCGCAGCATGGTGATCATGGAGGGGTCTCGGAGACGGCCGTCCTCATCCTTGAGATTGTATCCCTCTGGTCTCTTGTCCCGCTCGCTGACCTTCCATAGCTTCACGGTCTTATCTGAGGGGCAGGAGAGGGGACAGTATTATGGCTGGGGGGGCCCCGAGCTGCCCGCTGCCGGGCACGCCGAGGCCACGCTGGTCGGTCTGTAACAGTGACAGGTCCGCCGTGGCCCCACCTCAAACGGACCGAGCTGCCCGCTGCCGGGCACGCCGAGGCCACGCTGGTCGGTCTGTAACAGTGACAGGTCCGCTGTGTCCCCACCTCAACCGGAGAGGTACCGGTCACCACAGCACCTCACCCCCAGAGCCCTGGCTGTCCTGTTCCTGCTGGACAACGGCTGGAGCGTTTATTCCAGGTGTAAGGAGACGGCTGAACAACAGAACAGAACTATCGGATTATTGGGGAAATAACAGGAGAAGTGACTCCCCAGGGCTCAGAGCCTCAGGCCATGCCCTGAACGTCAGCGCTCGATATACCGGGTGACAAGGTGCTGGCACCAGGACGGGGCAGAGACGGGCAGCGCAGGGACACTGAGCCCGACGTCCCAGCACCGGGCCAGGACCACACAGGGCTGCTCTGCTCCCCCCGCCGCCGCTGTGCACGCCGCACGCTCGTGCACACGCACGGACACAGACCCCCCCTTCCCCGCACCCGCTGGAAAGCCGGCCGAGAAACGTCTCCCACGTCAGATCTCCTCCTGCGTTCCCCAGCTCACACGGCAGTTAACCAGGGGCCACCGATCAGTTTTCAAGACGAATTTCCAAATCAGTTTAGCTCCTAGGAACTGGAAACGTGTTGAATACTGAGGATGCAGCAGCTCTCCTAGTTCTGTCCCCGCCAGCTGCTCTGTCTCTCCTGCTCTTCGACACCGGTGCTGCGAACACCCCCAGTGCTGGCTCCCGCTGCCTTCGGGGACACGGAGGGAGGAGGGATGGGGACCCCGGTGTCACCCTGTGGGGCGCGGTGCCGGGAGCTCTGCTCGGCTTTAGAGCTCACCCGGCGCAGAGTGCCACGCGGTGAATCCCTGTGCCTGCAGCGGAGCTCACGCAGAAACCCAGCGGGCAACGAGCGGAGCCGAGCACTGGGCGACCGAGGCTCTGGCGGGCTGGCTGCTGCACCGGCATGGCGAAGGAGCAGGGCACGTGTGGAGGCAAGCTCTCCCCCGGAGCTCCCGACGGAGGCGAAGAGCGGCCTGGAACTCACTCAGAAGCAACCCTGACCCGTCCATGGAGGAG